GGGAGGGCGGGAAGGCGGGCGCCCGGGGGGAGGTATCACCCGGCTGCTGCACCAAGGATCCTGGATCTATGCGGTGGATTGCCTCACTGGGGTGCACGCCTTGTACTACCTTCCCGGGGAGAATACCTTCACCCTGGTCGCGGACATGGAGGCCTCCCCCCGGTTGGTCACGGACGCGTTGCTGCTTGATACCCGGACGGTCGCCGGTGCCGACCGGCAGGGGAACATTTTTGTGGCGCGAACGCCCTGGGAAGCAGTGATGAGTGTGGAAGGGGTGGGGTTGGGGAATGAGCAGAAGGGTGGGAGGGAGGAGGGGATTGGTCCTACGGGTGGGAGAGCCTTTTGGGAGGTGTGTGGGGAGGGGGGGGAGGCGCCTTCGAGATTGGAGAGTCTGGTCGAGTACCATGTGGGGGAAACGGTTTCGGCGATGGTCCCGGCCCGCCTCGGACGGAAGGGGGAGGGGGCTCGGATGGGCTTGCTGTACGCGACGATTGAAGGCACCTTAGGAATCTTGTCCCCCCTGTACTCTCCCCGCGAGAAAGAGGTCTTGCTCAAAGTGGAGGGCGCACTCCTGAAACTCTGTGCGGGGGGGGAGGGAAAGGAGGAAGTGGATCGGGGTTTGTTTGTAACGGCTCGGGATTTGGTCACCTTCCGATCGGCCATACGACCGGCGAAAGGGGTGATTGATTTGGACGTGATAGTGGCAGCGGGCGCGGAGCGACGGGCGTGGGCGGCGAAAAAGGCGAAATTGAGCGCAGAAGAGGTAGAAGAGGTATTGAACGAGACCCTTGCAGGGATGACGTTGATGAGGGGCTAACGAGGAGGGAGGGGAGGACGGGAAGGAAGGAAGGAGGGCGAAGGAGGGCAAAGTAACGGGGGATGTATTGGCTGCGAGTGCCAAGAAAGCTAAAAAAAAATTGTTAGGATTATCTCGAATAGTGTCAGAACCTTCCGGTAGGTCAACGGATTTTCTAAATTTTGAATCGGGGGGGATTTCCCCCCTACCTTGTTAGCAAGAGACCTCCCTCTTGCTTCCCAAAGCAAATTTTCTGCTCGCGTATCTTCCTTCTCACGATACATTTACCCAGCCCTCTTCTCCCCGTCCCCCTCCCTTCCCCCCTCCCTCTTGCCGTCCTCCTCGCTCTACGGTGCGCGCATCCTCATCTCTTCCTCTTCATCCAAACGTCGCAG